GGAATCGGTGGGTCGTTCGGGCTATCAGGTACCTGGGGCAGCTGTGGTTTTCATGAGAATCCCCGTGATCCACACTGGAGTTACCACCCGGTGATGCGCGTGCTAGCAGTTTACGTACCCAACTCACTGCAGCTAACGCTGTATCTGTGGATGTTAATGCATTCCGCCTACACCGCATGGAAACGCTCGCCGCTTGCTCCCCGGAATGACATACTGGAGAAGAAACAGCTGCAACGGAGAAAATTTGCCTGTGTACTGCTGGGGTTCTCCCTATGGAGTTTTGCCTGCTACTACCCGATGGTCATCCTAGCGTCCTTCAATCTGCGCTCCTATCAAAACGATCCCATTGTACAGCTTTATGTCCGCAACTGCAGCGTGCTAGGTTTCGCAATGACGCCGGTAAGTGTGAGCAATTCTGTATATCCATTCAACCTGATTTATGAAACTGTTCTAAAGGGTTTGTGTTTCAGGTTGTATTCTTCGTACTCAGTGAAGAGTACCGAAATGGTTTGGTGTCCCTCGTCAGACGTGTCCGAGGAATTGTAGAGAGAAAGGCACATAAAGGAAATAAGTCATTGGTCTAGCCACAAAGACATATCCTGGCAGTTCAAGTTAAGCGGTCCATCAGAATATTTTGCCTTGGAGTTGGAACACTATATTTCCCTCATCAGTATAGTAAACGACTTAATGCTAGATATAGTCCCAAATAATATGTTAAACACTATTCAGTAATGTTGGCTGGCAATCGCTGAAAAAGAAAGCCAACTTGCGTTGATTTTTAGCGTTAAATTTCTGATACTGTAAGTCCATCGATAGCTTTGCTAATTACTGCCATGTACTGCAATCTGCACCAGGACTGCTTATAAAATTGGCTTACATAACTTGGAATATGAACACCCGCTTATCTTTCCGTCAATATGGGACTGCACGTATACAGGACTATGACAGTGTCGTAAACTCGTAGGTAGCGTTTTACTCTATAAATTTATAAAGTGAATATTCTATGATGTATCTGTAGCAGTATAGAGAAACATGTATGTCTTCGTTTAAGTACTTTTACACTTAAATAAAAAGGACATACAATAGCAGAACCTAATAATACAGCAGCAAACTTATTAATTATCCACTATTTACAGTGAACACCTTGACGAAAGTAGAGCTAAAATAATATTACTTTCACCTTACTAATACTACTGTATGACACTTTAAGCTACAAAACGAAAATAACAAAGAATTTTGCATTCATTAATGCGGCTTGATTTCTTCGGTCCAGATCTCGACATAACAGCGCGGAATTTTACAGTCAATAGGTCATCAATGCAGCACGTCTCACCTAGCGGATGAGGGAATACTAGCATTTGGTGCCTGCAGGCTACGATTCCCGCGGTGCTGGATTTACTATACGACTGCTCCTCACCAGTTTCATTTTAATTATCGTAGAAATTCCATTCGGTCAGCATAATATTACTGTCTCGTACAGTACTCAGAGATTCTTGCTTTGAACGTGTTCGGTTAAAATGCAAAGAAATTCGACATTTTTAACAAATGTCACAGCCCACAAACCTGGACAACAACAAGCAAGAATGATTATCAAGAGTATGTATGCTGACCTTGTAACCGGAATGGCTGTTCTGGACATGATTCGTGCCAGGTCCGATCGAAACGTCCTGCATTTCTGACAATTTTTATTGTTTTTTAATGATTTCAAAGAGCGTTTACCGAAATGTCGTTTTCGTGACATTGGACCACAAAGTGTGCGAAGGTGGCTGTATGTTGTTCAAAGCGGTGTTGTCATTGCGCCCGAGTCGACTGCTTAACGGATTACAAAGTACTGCAAGAATTGCGTTGAGAGGTCGTACTTCCTGATGCAGTAACACTGGTAAACTTGCAGAGACGTCTCTGCAGTTGGCGTGTACCTAGAGTAGAAACATGTAATCATTTTCTGCTCTCTGATGGTGATTATGAAAAGTTAGCGACCGCGGTCATCAGGTTCTTTGAAGTTTTCATAGCTCTAGATTGGTTACCGATATTATTAATTTCCTATAATATCCAGTTGTTTATTTACTCATTACTGGTGTGTCGGATAATGGTGGAATACTATACTATGAATACTATGAATATCACTTTCCATTGTTTAGCGTTATGAAATGCACATGCTGTCCTTTTTCTCTTTACTTACTACATGAGTATGCATCTACTTCTAAAGCTCACCGGCATCTTGAATTTTAAAGCCGTGTATTGTCGTATAATGTCTTTCATAAAAATAGATGGACTTGAATTTTAGCGTTGCATCTAGTCCATCTCAACCATCGGATGCCGTTCAGTATTGCATTTGGCTCCCAGTGCATCCACTCAAATTTTCTTCAGTCATCAAAGCCATTTATTCCCGAACAAAAGCTGAACACAGCCGTTAATAACTCCACAAAGCAGAATATGGTGCATAATATCAGCAAGAACTCCACTAGCGACTTACCGGCATGGATAATCTATAAATATCAGCTGACAGTTTGGTTCGCCTTTGCAATATCTGAACCTTATTGGGGCAGTGCACTGTTCTTGATAGTTTTCACTGTACTCTTTCACATAAAAGCTCATAAACGAATATCGGGTATTTTGATTTTCCATACAGCTTTCTTGGACTTCACAATGTGCACCATTCACTGTCCGCTGAATATTTTTGTGGTATTCTTTAACGGTCGCCGCACTTTCTTACCAGAGAAATACTGTAGCTATGTTGACGGTCTGCTGTTGATCACGACGAACGTTATTCATTTTGCCAATGCATATCTGGCAGTCAATCGTTTTGTGGCTTTTGTTTTCCCACACCGCTACAAAGCATGGACCACCAGAAAAGCGCTGTCGTCGATGGTGAGAAAAGCGTTTAAAAGCAATTTGACAGTTTCATAAATCTGGCACAGTTATACTAACCAATATTACGAACTAATTTATGTGCAATTCCTGTAAAATTTATTTCACTCACAAACTACCGCATCTTGCTGATGCGCTCAGCTCATTGAATTCGTCGGTTTAGTTTGGCTCAGCGTGGGCGCTTGGCGTGTTAGTCAATATTCCGGTACTGTTGGAAATCGGTGAGTCATTTGGACTATCTGGCACGTGGGGCAGTTGCGGCTTTCATGAAGATTCACACTGGCGCTACCATCCTGTGTTGCGCGTGTTGTCAGTGTATGTACCCGATGCACTGCAGTTAGCGCTATATCTAAGCCTGCTACTGCATTCCGCATACACGGCATGGAAACGATCGCCGCTAGTTCCCAAGAACGACATACTGGATAAAAAAAAGCGAAAGCGAAGAAATTTCTCCGATGTTCTCTGTTGGTTCTCCTTATGGAATATCGCTTGTTATTATCCCGTGGTCATTCTGGCGTCGTTTAATCTGCCCTGGTATCAAAACGATCCCATTGTACAGCTTTACGTCCGCAACTGCAGTGTGTTAGGTTTCGCAATGACGCCGGTAAATTCGTGATATACATAGGTGTGCATTGTGACTTTTGATCCATATATACTTCTATGAACCCTTACAAGCGGTGCATTTACATGCATTTCAGGTTGTATTATTCCTCCTCAGTGACGAATACCGAAATGGTTTGGCATCATATCTCAGATAGGTCCGTAACATTTCAACGGAAACTTTAGTAGTGGACACATGTAAGAATTTTCTCAACAAGAACACAACCTGCTCGTCCGAACGAGGCCACGGCACATTCCCCAGGCTCAAACCTTACGTTAGAATACACTGTTCTTGTCATGTTCTCGCCGTTTAATCATAACTCGAATTCCTGTGTTCAAAAGTAAAGACGTTAAAAAATTAATTATCTTTGTTTTTCTCAGTGACATACTCTTATTATTTTTGTTTGATATGACTGTACGATTAGCTGATGCCATTATAATGCTCATACTTTTAATCCATAATCGCGTATGCATCGCCATGACGGAAATAGATGAAACGCTCTCTGTCAAGAAACCCTGGGGCTCAAAAATGTGTTGCTCGGCATGGCGGTGGAAGCTCCAATAAGTGTGGAACGTGGCTTTGATAACAGAGAAGTCAGAGCGGCGGAAATATTTTCGTTTCTGTTACTGTTAAGACGCCTGTTTCTGTTCAGCTTTTTTAACTGATTAATACACATTAGGGGTACAAGGAAAGTAACTAAAAAACTAATTTTGACTGCTTTTCCTAAGTAGTACGTCACTCGCACGGGTTGCATAAAAAGGACAGATACATTTTGGATATTTTGCTATTAAACCGCGGCCATATACAACGATTTTCGCTGCACCACTGATAATACTACTCTGTACGGTCATAATCGTAACTTGCATTATTAGCAAACATACCCTTTTGCGTCAGCGTGCGATTGCATGAGTTATGACGGTTATTAATATTGCACAACCGCACATTGTGGACTCGGTTCGTGCATGAAACCCACTACTCCCACATGCGTTCTCTGCGCATCAGTTATTACTGATTCCCTGCTTGATATGCATGTAAAACCCTCGCAAAGTCCGCGAGCGCACCTTAATCCGATTTATCGAAGACATTGTGCCGTGGCGACCCAAGCGATAATAAAATTAGAAATTGATAATGCTGTTAACGCTTGATGTGGCCAACCTACTAGCTTAACGTGTCATGTATTGTCATGTGTAGGAATCGTATCTTTATTGTATCGTAATGGTCCGGAAAACAACTGAAAGGAAACTGAGGAATCGTAACTAGAGAACCGGGAAAACACAAGAGAAGTTGCTAAGAAGACAAGGACAAAGGACAGAAATAGGAAAGTATTAGAAGGACAATAAACACGTGAACTCAGTATACTACATTCCCTTCCCTCGCCCAAAAAGAGCTGGGTTGAACCATTGCATCAGAACCATATATTTAGCAGCATACAAACCATAGAACCATAGCAACAAGAACCACGGCAACAGAACCATATAGTTAGTGAACTCTGAACCACTGAGACGAAGCGTCGTAGGAACCGGAACTGGAATCACAGTATGTCGTATGGAGGACGCGGTGCGTAATCCGTAATGTAGTTATTCGTAGCGACGTCGGATTTCTTCTGTGAGCGGCATGCCTTTGCTATATGACCTTTCTTCCCACAGTTATGGCATACGTGTTTCCTGTAGAAACAGCGCTCGCGCATGTGATCGGTTGATCCACAGGAATCGCATCTTCGCTTAGGGGAACTGGAATCGGAATCGGACTCGTTTTGATTGCTGGTGGGTGGCTTGTGGCTTCCATTTGCACTGGATTGACCACTGGAATTGGATGTCTTTTGCTTGACAACCGTTGACCTTCTGCTAGCTGTGACTTTCATCACAGTTTCACGGTCTTGGCTGGACGTACTGGCCGTAGCTTCTTCAATGCCGGTTTCCATCTTCCTGGCGGCGTTCAGGGTCTCTTCGTGGGTCTGGTATTCGTTTATCAGTAGGTGACGGCGGACGGAATCCGACTGGATGCCGTTTATGAAGACGGCGCTGAGCATCGGGTCGATGATGTCAGCGGGAAACTTGCATACGGTACTCCTGTACCGTAACCTGCTGGAGTATGCCGCCAGCGATTCGTCCTTCCCTTGGACAGTTCGGAACAGGTGTGCCCACTCCGCGACCTTGAATGTGTACTTGTTGTACACTGTATCCAATTTGGCCAGCAGCATTTCTATGGTGAGTTTCTTGTCCGTGATGGCAGTCGGCCTGCACATCGAGACAAGCATCTCGAATGGCTTGACCTCCAGCGAGTTCAGAAGCAGCCCTTTCTGCTTCTCCACGGGGATGTCGGCGAATTCGATATAGCTGTGGAGGTTTTCTTTCCACATATCCCACTGCATCGACTCGGGATTAAACCGTAGGATGGGATGAGTTTCTGGTGTCGCCATATTCGAACGAATTAAGAAGCGAACTAGCGCTGTTAAGCCGTATATAAAGAACTCGTACACTTCAATGATAGAGATCTACAGTATTACACAAGCTTCACGCCATTGTCATGTATTGTCATGTGTAGGAATCGTATCTTTATTGTATCGTAATGGTCAGGAAAACAACTGAAAGGAAACTGAGGAATCGTAACTAGAGAACCGGGAAAACACAAGAGAAGTTGCTAAGAAGACAAGGACAAAGGACAGAAATAGGAAAGTATTAGAAGGACAATAAACACGTGAACTCAGTATACTACATAACGCATAAGGAAAATGCTTTCCCGGGCATGCAGAGACAGCAACACCATTTGCAGTACAATTTCTGTCAGTAACAGAACGGCAAGTTACCCTATAATTCAGCCGGCACTAAGCTGAGCTTTAGCCTGCATCAAGGTCCGCCGGTCACTCCGACCTTTTCGTCGGCCCAACGTTGACGCAAAGCAAGTTTATTTTTGGTTGTCGGAACAGTCCCGTTAGTTAATGACGGTACCGATTCACCGCGTGCGGATTTGTTGGCGCGTTGACATTCAGTGCCGGCGACAGAACTTGTTGTATCGGTGCCCGGTTAAAATGCACAGAAATTCGACATATCTGCTTGGCTCTATGGCCAATAATACTGCACAACCACCAGCATGGATTGTTTACAAAGATCAGTTAAAATTGTGGTGCGCCGTTTCATTGTCGGAGTGCTGCATTGGTACGCTACTGCTGGTGTTATTTCTTGTGGTGCTTATCCGCACCGGTGGTCACAAATCCGCTTCCGGTATTTTAATTCTACATACCGTTCTTCTCGAAACCAGTTTGTGCGCTGTAAATTTCCCAGTAAACATCCTGACCATTTGCTTAAACGGTCGCATGGAATTCCTAACGACGACATCCTGTGCGATTGTGAACTTTATAGGCTTGGTTAACGCACAGTTGACGTATAATTCCAACACGTGTCTAGCGATTAATCGTTTCGTCGCCGTGGTTTTTCCCAGGCAATACAAAAAATGGACAACGCGACGAGTACTAGCAGCAATGGTATGTTGAATTAACTTCTGATTATTCAAACATCAACTTTATCCAAACATGATACCTAACCGCCATCCTCTAATGTTTCGGCTACGAAATTCGTTTCTTTTTACAGATAGGTTTATCCTGGCTCATTGGATTCGTGGCAAACATACCGTTACTGCTTAGTTTTGGCGGTTCTTTTGGTATATCGCAGCCATGGAGAAGCTGCGGATTTCATGTCGACCGCAACCGTCCGCATGGATTTTTTTATCCCATTCAAAAATCAATTTCCATGGACGTTCCCAATGCGATCCAAATACTTCTTTACGTGATTATGTTGGTGCGGTCCCGGAAAACACGATATCCTGGGAATAATGTGTTGCAGAAGCAAGTTCAAAAGCACCGGCGGTTGGCCGTAGTCCTGTTCATCTTTTCGGTGTGGAACGTTGTTTGGTTTTACCCACTGGTTATTTTAGCAGTATTCCAGTTACCCACTTACCGCCAAAATCCTACTGTACAGTTATACGTCCGGAATTTTCCGCTGACAGGATTCGCTATGTCGGCGGTAAAGTTGTCTATACTTCCAGGATAACTTCTACCTTGGCATTTTAACACCGAATTATGCGCAATATAATTGAACCAAATTTTGATTTTTCTAAATTGGTAATGCTAATTTTAATGTTTCAAATGCGTTATAAGCGAAAGATTTGTAACGTTGCACTTTCCACACTTCCACGCTGCATCACAAAGGGGAAAGTAGACTGCGTAAGCGTGATTTTCGGTGTATCGTTGTACTGTACATTTGTGTGATTCCACTGAACAAAATGTTTTATATTTTCAGATCATATTCTTCTCTTTGAATGCCACCTACCGCGCAGCCCTGCAGGACATACTGAAAAAAATTTGTCCCAAGTGTCATGGTCATCGTTGTAAAAAAGTGGATCCATCTGTGAGCATGAAAGCTCTGCCTCCAATGCCTAAAATTCCGTGAACTGACTACCGGACCACTATAAACGAGCAAACCATTTTGTACTCATTGTTCGCACAATTGCTGTTTTGCTCTTTTTTGTACCGGTGCAGTAGTATACGGATTGAAGTGATGTAGGGTTTTTTCTGCTGCGCTGTACATTTCACGTAATTTGGCCAATATAAAAAAAACAAGCTGGGTTGTGAAATTGAGATAACGAATTACTACTCTAAGCTTGTGCTGTATCCGTAATATAAAACGATCGACGCACCTTGCTTTCCTGATTTATAATTTGATTTATAATTTTAACAAATGATATTAATGAACCTTATAAAGCTTTCACTTGTCCACGTCGAAGGCGGTTAATGAATGTGTCCGGGACTGTACACGTCAGTAATTCCTTTAAAGTGCTTCGTTTGTTGGGATGTTGTACTGTGGATATCTATCTCATGTTGCAACTGCAACGCTATCTGCAGAGGCGTCTCTACAATTTATACTTAGTGTCGGCACCAGGTAATTACGGTACTTTCAGTTTAAGAATTATGGTACTGACGATGGTTCTGAACGATGTTTATTATGAATTTTTTAATTATTCTTTACACACTTTCCAGTTGGTTTGCCGACATCAGTACTGGTTTGCGCTGGATAGTTTGTTCACTGCTTTTACTTGACGACCAGAGTACTGAGAGAAGTGCCCTGTTGGTAGACGCTCTCCAGTTTATTACTACGAGTTTAAGATATAAGTAGTGCATTTAAATATACATCTTCTTTGCTTGCTTAAAATAACAGATGAAAGACTAATGAAATACTGTATAATGCAGTTAATATGATGCTGTCTGTCTATCAGATTAGCAGATGCAGCACTCTTGATATTTCTGCCTGTGAACCGAAACGGCTTTGAGCAATTGGCTGTAAGTACTGTAACTCGAACATTTTGTCGTCTTTTGCAGTTTGTAAATATACGGTGAGGACCTTCCAAATACTAGGGAATCGGTCTGCAGCGGAAGTAGGGCAAATCGTTTTGATATGGGCTTTGTATTAACACAATAGCATAACGGGAACATTATTATGAAACCAAGATGAGGACCTACTTGATTGCGTTATGTGTTCTTCAGTCAACAAACGCCTGCGCACAAGCGAGTAGTATTACAAACATAATGCAGTATTCCAGGATGTCGCTGTTGTTAGCCGCATCATACACGGTGCTCGTTTCCGAATGCTCCATGACGCATTCCAGATTAAATATTCAAGTAAAGCCGACTCGTGATCGCTCAGAAAACTGAAGACTGAATGAAATCCCCCGCAGCGGAAGGCACAAATCTGCAGTGTGCTCCGTTACCATTTTTATACGGAGAATAAAAGGTCACCTTCCACTTGTTTGTCCACCACCGCCCACGATGACGCTGCAAACCTGAGATTGTTGTTTTAATCTAAACAAAACACCTAGCTTATGCTTGCATGTGCTTGTCTTGGAACCGGACTGGGAGCTTTGATTTGAGATCAAACTGAATAAACAGTAATATGTATGTTATATTCAGGTTCCGTTTATGTGGCATTAGTCCTTAATTTATCCCGCTTTATAACTGCCAGTCTGCCAGTAAATAAAGCTGATGTGGTCGTTACGAGCTTTCTGCTTAGTGTCTGGTTCGATCCCACCATGAATCTCAATATAACCGCAAATTCCACGACAGCCTTGCCGGCATGGATCACCTATCATGCCCAACTGCGGACCTGGTTTGTTATTTCTTTATCGGAGACTTATGCCGGCAGTGTCATGTACTTGGTGTTTTTCGCTGTGTTGCTGCGTTTGCGCACGCACAAGAGGGCTTCGGGGATTTTAATTCTCCATACTGCCCTATTGGATTTTACGATGTGTGCCATTCATGTACCGATAAATATTATGGTAGTATATTTTAATGGTGATCATAAATTTCTGCCGGACAAACTGTGCATTTATCCTCACAGCTTAATGTTGATAAGTGGTACCATTACCAATTTAACTAATGCCTGTTTGGCTTTAAATCGGTTTGTTGGGATTGTTTTTCCGCATCACTACAAATCATGGGCAGCAAGGCAAGCATTAACTGCAATGGTAAGCGAAACGGAAGTATGAGTGACGCACGCATCTAGAGTAACGCACGCAACTCTCACGATCAGTACATGTATAAATTCTTGTATAAAAATAATTCATACTAAAATGGCGTAGCTATAGCTACTTGGCAGTTTGCAACAATTTAAGGAAGGTGCAGATGTATTTTATATTTTTGCGGCTACTGCACTAAAGTGTACGCTTTATCAACTATCTAGACGTTAAACGTCTTAAATTTTATTGACGGTACAAAAGTCAAAATGTTTCTATAGATATCAAGGTAAAGATATGCTGATTAAACTGCCTCAGCCGACAGCAGAAATAAGCGGCCAAATTAATAATTATGCAGAACATTACATCTAAATTAGCCGATGCCGGTGCTGTTGTACTATCGAGGTACTGATATTGGGAATGTAAAAAATGGACGCTGGCGTGAGTGTACGTCACTGCCACAAAAATGCACTACGAACACAACACGTACGCACTATGCATATACTACTGTATGCACTACTTATGACTTATGCATGATACCAACACCGTGCGAAGTAATCATGCTGTACAAGAAATTCAATTCCCTGCAGCATTAAAACTGTAGGTCAGGTGTTGTTTTTGATGGATTTCATCAACTGGTTGATTTAGATAACATCATCATGGATACTCGGCGTGACGTTTAACCTTCCTCTGCTGCTGGGCGTTGGTGGCTCGTTTGGATTGTCAAATACCTGGGGCAGTTGTGGCTTCCATGAAAATCCCGGTGATCCACACGCGCGCTATTTCCCTGTGATGCGAGTGCTGATGGTGTACGCTCCGAATGCGCTACAGTTGACCCTGTATGTAACAATGCTGCTGCATTCCGCCTGCGTTGCCCGGCACACGCCTTTGTCTCGGGCCAATGATGTCATAGCCAAA